GTCTCTCCTGATGAAGGAGCCCTTTGCACTTGGCTGGGAGAAGAAGAACCCAATCAGAGAGACTTTTTTTCTCTCATGGGTTCTACGGCCCGTCTGTCTGTTCCTTGCTTTCTTGGGGATGCTCCTGAACATAAATCAGCAGTTTGTTGTGTTGAGGCATGAGCCTCCGAGAAGAGGGTTGATTGACCAAGCCGAGAGGGGTGGCCTGGTGGGTGGGAAGCAGACCTCTAAGCCACAGGCTCTCGCTCTGTGTGAGGAGAAAGGAGCTGAGTGTTGCAAGGCTCTCAGTGCTTTCATGTTCATATCTGCTCATAAAATGTCTTCCACCTCTGGGGAAAGTGAACGCTCTGCTCTGAGGATAAACTTCATGGAAAGTATGAGAAGGGAGTTTTCAAAGTGTTCCTTGTTCTAAAAAGGAGCTACAATGTAAACATGAATATAAGAGTAGAAAGTATAAGCGCTGAGGGACTCAGGCCACAGTGCTAATCTGAGAGAGACGTAAATTCATCCTGTCAGAAAGAAGTAGAATTGCAAGGTGCTAAGGAGTCGGGACAAAACAGGAGGTAATTTCATGGATGTGACTTCTCTGAAGGATAAGAAAATGTTCTAAAATATTGGGGCTACGGTTCCATAACTTTATGTGTCTACCATGGAATATTAAAATGTTCACTTTGAGTAAATGGTAACATCAATTTGTTTTTATTTCTACAACACCATTTTTTAAAAGTTACTTTTTCTAAAGTGTATGGAAAACCCAGTGTAGATGAAGTGTGCTTCAGAGGAGGAACGAAAGTAGCCAGGCTGCAGCTGTGGGGAGTGGGAGGGGAAAAGCCCTCATTCAGTCAGACAGAAAAACCCGTCCAAGGGTCCATGAAATGGCATTTGAAGAGGAGTAACCATGACGACGAGGCATGTTGCTGTGTGCAGTGTTGGAGGACGCTGAGGGGCTAATTTAAGGCATCTTGCCGCCTTTGCCAAGGGCCTTGGCCTCTGGCTGGTACCGGTGTGAGCTGAGGGTCACTGCACAGTCAGACTGTCCTTCTGCCCTCTGTGTCCCCAGGACCTTGTTCCCTTGCTTGGGTAGACTGTCTCCATCAGCTCCTATATACCTGTTTGCCTTGCCTTGCCTCTCTTTCTAGAAACCATAGTCTATAACTCATGTTGACTTTCTTGTGTCTGGTTCATTTCACAGCTCCCTACGATTGTATCTGCGCCCTGACATCCCACTGGGATGGCTTCAGCAGAAATCAGTGGCCCTAATTCTCAAGTCTGGACCGCCATGCTCAGTGCATTTATTTCCTGCCTAGCTGGGCCACTCCTTCCCAGATGTCTTCCAGCCCACGTACATTAACATTTGAGCCCATTCCCTCTCTTCCTTCTTTAAACTTTCATCCTGCTCCTTGGGGTCGGTGAGACACAACCCTATGCCCTCCCTGTTCATCCTCTCTCACTAGACTGACCTTCATTCTTATAGTGTCAATCATGGCACATAGACCTAGCAGCACAGGACGGATGTCAGGTTCCATGTGCGTGGCCCACAATGCATTACCCTATAATGGCATTAGATATTAAATGTTAGTGAACCTTGTGTTTTCAAGCTAAGTCTTGCCCCCAGGTACTTCTCATCACCAGCCTTTACCTCCAGTCCGCTGTTGGTTTTGAAACAGGCCCTCAACAAGCTACCCAGACTCACCCTGAAGCACTCACACAGTTCAGGCAGCCTTTGAACTTGCAAACATTCCATCTGGCCTCCTGAGTAGCCAAGATTACACTCTTGTCCCACTAGACCAGTAGGCCCATCAAGGCTTAGAGGAAATGACAGAGATACTGAGCCTTACTGAACCACAAACCCCACTCGAGGGTGAGGGCAAGGGCAAGGCAGGAAACAAAACCAGGTGGGGTGGCACACACCTTCAACCCCAGCACCTAAGAGGCAAAGGCTGGTGGACTCTCTTTGCTTGAGGACAGCCTGGCCTACATGGTGAGACCCTGTCTCAGAAAAGCAACAAGAGACAATAGTGCATGAGCAAAACCACTGGAACTCGCTGTGCACACAGCAGAGGAACAGGGTGAGCCTGCAAAGGGAGGCTGCAGCTGCAGAGTCTCCAAGGGGCACTAATGCTAACATGGTTTGATTTTTTCTCCAGGGGTGTATGGACGATGGAAGATGTAGTGGGTTGGTCAGACCTGCCTGTAGAAAGGGTATTGTGTGCTTACAGTACGGAAAACAGATTTGGGGTAGAGAGAAAGACAAGGGGTCAGGGCCAGGAAGGAGGAATCTGGGGTTATGTGCTCATTTCTGTCTTCTTTGTTATAGTTACTAATAGCCATAAAGCCACCAGAATCAGCCTATAAACCTTGTCTTATATACATGTGCATGAAATATAAACATAGCTCATGTTTATGTAACCATGAAAGAGTCTCCATTCGCCAGAGGCCCCAACGTTGAGCACATAGCCACAAGATTAATGGCAGCATTGTGCAGAGGGGGGAAATGTTTTTGCCAATGTTTAATATAGTTTTTTCCACACTCAGCCCCAAATGCACACAAAGTATGTGCTCTGCCCACTGGCTCTCCCATGTGAGAAGTGCAGACCTACATAAACCACAGTAGAAAACTGTCTTACTCACTGTGAGGGACTTGCAGTCTGAGAGGTTCAGTTCTTGCAGGTTTTTACAGTGGCCTAAATCAAACAAGCAGACGTCACTAAGCAACACACTGCAAGCATGTGGCCTTTCACCCTACATTCAACGCAGCACTTTTCTTAGAAGGTAAATAGAAACCTGGGCAAGAAATGTGGGCTCAGGTGTGGGTTTCTCTGCTCGGGCCAATGGCTTCTTTAAAAACTCATATATACGTGTGCTTATTATATCTGCTTATTTGTGGGGTACAGGAAGAAGATAGAAAGAAAAAACACACTATTTTGATTTTAAAAAATACTATATACCTGGGGCTTTTAGCTTGAAAGTACTTGAGGAAAATAAATTTGATTGTTTTGTTAGTTTGGGTTTTGATTTTGTGACTTTTTGGTGCATGGTTTTTAATTTTTGTGAATGTGTGCTTTGTGTGGTACACGGATGTGTGTATCCATGCATGTATTTGTGTGCTTCTGTGTGGTACACAGATGTGTGTATCCATGAGTGTGAATGTGTGCTTCTGTGTGGTACACGGATGTGTGTATCCACTGACATACTGACTAAGCCGTCTCCCAGACCCATCTTTAAGCTTCAGTTTTAAGATATTATATCTATTTTTACATGTATACAGAAATTAACAGGACTACACCTTGAGCACCTACATCTCTGCCACCCAGAATATAATCTGCATTTTATACTGGTTTTATTGCATGCTCACTCACCCATCTCTCAACTGGTCCTGCATTCTGCCTTATTTTTTGATGCATTTCAAAGCATGTTGAAAATACTAGCATGCTTCCTCCCCATAATGCATAATGATTGAAATAAACTCTTCGTTGTGACTTTTAAAGTTATATTGACATAGAAATTGCACTAAATTACAGAAACGTGGAGGTTGAGAAAAGTCATGTGCCTTAATAGCCCTTGTAATACTGACATCGCATGGCTCGGGGAAGATGGACAGCTAAACAGCACTTAGGGGAGACACATGAATGATGACCATGAGTACTGCCTGACCCAAAGCAGTGGGAAGGCATTCTAGGTGGGCGGGGCCCCATGAAACGGGGAAACTGCAGGTAAGGATGGCCCTGGAGCTCAGTCCAGAATGACTAACATACAGATGACACACAACTGGTCTCATGACCGTGCCTGCCACTAATAACAGACATGTTACTCATTATAAACAGACTCTTGATATTTCTGCCTTTGCTAATAGCAGCCTCTGTCCTGAGTGACAGATACAAACAAGAAACGTTCCCAGAATATCTTTACGAAAGGTTGAACAGTTCCTGAAGCAGGTCTGGGCTAGGACTAGCTCCCCTGGAGAAGAGCCAGCCTGGCACATTCACTACATCACCCTAAGTAAGCAGGGTAGCGCACACCCGCAAGCCCCAGCACCCTGGAGGGGAGAGGAGGACCAAAGGTTCAGGCTCATTCGGGGCTATATAGTGACCCTGTCTCAAAAGGAAAGAAAATGCAGATCTTAGGAATCACCAGTAGAGGCCCAGAAATAACATTAGTTTGTGTGTGGTAAATCTTTAGGATAGAATAGCTACCATATTTATAAAAAAAAAAAATTGTCAGGGAAACACAGTTGCAGTACAGTGGGAATCTGATTTCTAGTTAAGGAAACTGGACAGAACAGTGTACAAAACAAAATGTTTGCTTAAACAGAGGCTGATGAACACGGAAAAGAAAAGTAAAACAGGAAAGACAGAACGAAATACTTGGGACGGGAGCAGCACAGAAGCCTTCACCGTCACCTTCTCAGATGGCGCGTCTGAGACCAGACCTGTATGGGTCGATGACGGTGCCATTGACTCTGAACATTTCCTGGTCTAAATTCAACATGGGTGGTTGAATGATCACGAGCACATGACTGCTCCTAGGTATGGCTGGGGAGAAAGGTTACCTTTGATATGAGAGAGAGCACAGACTGAACATGGCCGGCAGAAGAGATTCCTTTAATTTCTTCAACCCACCTGACGAGGAACACAGGTTCGCATGTTGCCAGGCTGAGTCCACACAGTCGAGAGCTTCCCACCGTCCAGGCACTGAGCCCCTTTCATCATAAGCCCCATTTTAAAGACTCTGAACTGAGGAGGGATACAATTGGGCAGAACAAGGGCCTTGATTCAGATCTAGGGCCAAGCATATGTTTACGAACCAAGGTAGGCAAGCGAAGGGGGAAGCAGGTTCTACAACATTGTTCGCCCACTAAACTAGAAGGTTCAGACAAAATGAAATAAGCTGCTGTTTCTGTCATACATTGCTCAGGATGACTCTTAACTGTTTTCCTTCCTTCATTCCTTCCTTCCTTCCTTCCTTCCTTCCTTCCTTTTCCCCCTTTTTGTCCCACCTAGGAACGCTGCACAGCCCAGCAGAAACTTACTCTTCCTGACCTGAGCTTGTCGAAGCTACCCAAACTTGGATTTCAAAGGAAGACTCTCTCATTCTACCTGCCTGGTGCCTGGGGCCAGCTAGCCGTCAGAATGCGCACGAACACAGTGGCCATCGTGATTCTTCTCTGCTTCTGCAGAGCTGCTGAGTCCCGCAGGACCGGCCCTGGCACTTTGAGAAGCCAGGTCAATCCCAGCCGCAGCGACAGCCGGGCAGGTGGCGGCAGGAGAGGCAGCCCAGTCAAACGCTATGCACCAGGTCTTCCCTGTGATATATACACGTATCTCCATGAGAAATACCTAGACTGCCAAGAAAGAAAGTTGGTTTACGTGTTACCCGACTGGCCTCAAGACTTGCTGCACATGCTGTTAGCGAGAAACAAAATCCGTGTGTTGAAAAACAACGCGTTCTCTAAGTTTAAGAGGCTGAAGAGCCTGGACTTGCAACAGAATGAGATCTCCAAAATTGAGAGCGAGGCATTCTTTGGCTTGAATAAGCTCACCACCCTCTTGCTGCAGCACAACCAGCTCAAGGTGCTGACAGAGGAGGTGTTCATTTACACCCCGCTCCTGAGCTACCTGCGTCTCTATGACAACCCTTGGCAGTGCACCTGCGAGCTAGACACGCTCGTTGCGATGCTGCAGGTCCCACGGAACCGGAATCTGGGCAACTATGCCAAGTGTGAAAGCCCACCAGCACTGAAGAATAAAAAGTTGCTGCAGCTGAAGCCTGATGAGTTGTGCATCGAACAGGAGAGTGAGCAGCCGGACCCCAAGCCCCAAGTATCAGGGAGACCCCCTGTCATCAGGCCCGAGGCCGACTCCACCCTGTGCCACCATTACGTGTTTCCCATACAAACCCTGGACTGCAGGCAGAAAGGTGCGTGCGTGGGCCTCTCCCTCTCTGGTTTCTGCAGGCTATTATCTAGTCCCGCCCCCTCCCTACATCCCGTGGTGCCAGGAGAGGTCAGGCAGCACTGTCCAACAACAATCAACTCTGTGAAGTCCTAGTCAAGGCAGCTGGAAACCAGGGAGCGAAGGTGGTAAGGCGCCTGGCTAGCACATGCTAAACCCTGGGTTTGACCCCCAGAGCCACTAACTGGGCTGAGTGGCACACGCCTGTAATCCCTGCCCTTGAGAAGTAAAGACAAGAGGGTGGTACAAAGTTCAAAATCCTCCTTGACTACCAAGTGAGTTCGAGGATAGCCTGGGCTCTGTGAGACGCGGCTCCAAAACACACACCCCTAAAAAATTCACAAAACAAAGCATAAGCAAAAAAAAAAAACAAAGCATAAGCAAAGGAAAACAAATTCAAGGTCATTCTCAGTTACCTGGGAGGCTGTAGACCAGCCTGGATTTCATGACATCCTGTCTAAAATCAATCCAAGTCCCAGCACCTATACCAGGTGCTCACGAGTACCCATAACCCTGACTCCAGGGGAGTTCAATGCCTCTGGCACCCATGGGTACCCATCCACATGTGTCATACACACACAGTAAGAAATAAGTAAATAAATATTTACATAAAGCAAACAACAACACCAGCCATGAGAACTGATTGTTCTCAGCGCAGCACAGGCCATGGGGAAGCACCGAGGTGGAGGCCTGCAGAGCGGCTACAGAGGCTTCTGTACTCCAGCCGCTTTAGTCCTAAGATTTTCATGAGCCCTGAGAGAACCAGGCATCTTACTTCTTCCCAGGTTATGCAAAGTGAACAGAAGTGAGTCATTTACAGTCCTTAATCTCGGCTGTATGATATCCTCCCAACAATGAGCAAAGTTCTTATTGGGTCTTTTTTCCCATGAAACATCTCTCTTTTTCTCTTGGCAAGCACTGGCTATAAAACATATTTTATTGCTTTCCTTTTCCAACTTATTGTTGCCTAAATATAATCTTCCAAAAATACCCCACAAATTAATCTTCTTTGCTCCAAAACTGTAGTGAACCAATATAAAGTTTCATTACACATAAATTTAGCTCATATAACACTGATCAGAACATTAAAGGACAACCCACGCCCCTCTATCAGTTAGTGACTATGGAACATTCAGAGCCCATATTTTCATTTTGAAGTGGTTAATTTTTATGCAGTAGTAATTCTGTGTGTCTGTGAGAGACAGTGTGATATTTTAATTGGTGACTATGATGACTAGCACCCAATCAGAATGTTACCATCCATTACTGTAGACAGGCATCGTTTGCGCTGCAAACATCAATATCCTCTCTGCTGGCTACGGTCTAGCGCAGCACAGCAGTCCCTCTATCTGTTCACTACCTTCTCTCCACCCCCAACATAATTAAGTACAAAAGCCTTTCACTGTGACTTACACAAACCTAACAATCCCATTCCTCGTTTAGTTTTCATTTTTGGCTTATAAGTTCATTCCTATAGGATAAACCTATCAAACTCTTTCTTTAAAGCCCAGCATTGGGCAATGGGTGAGAATGTCTGAGCTGCCTTTCTTTGCTTTGTAAAGCAGTAACTTATGCAACTCTAACAACAGAGATGCACAGCAGTGGGAAATCGTGGCTAGAATTCAAATATGACAGCCCTAATCTCATCTGATTTCATTGCTTTGTTCGATAAATGGATAACAAATCTCTAATATGAAAGTAACAAAAGCTCAGTAATGTTCATTTCTAGGCCCCTGCTGGAGTGCATCCGTGCCCTTGATGAGACTTAAAGCATGCCATCGAGCGGGGAGCTAGCGGTGACATTAGTGAACGAGAGTCACTCCCTCACTGCCTGTGGTGAAAGACATGGTCACTTGGTCCTCACTGCCCTAAAGCAGTGTGGCCGTAATCGACATGATCAATGTCACGTCGTAAATGACAAAGCTGGGTATAGAGAAGCTATCCTCAGAAGGTCACGTGGGCAGTAGGAATCCACCATTCAAGCCATAACCACCATGCAATGCCATCTCTTTCCTTCGAGATGGGATGCATTCACTAGACCAAGAATTCACTCATGCCTCCCGATGCTAAAGCCTCCTCCTGAGCTACACAAGAAAACCACGTGGTGAATGAAAGCAGGGAGCCGGGGTGTAGCTCCTCCCTGGGAGGAAATTCAGCCTTCCCAACAGCGCAGCAGTGATGCAGATAATCCACGCAGGGTACTAACTCGAGCCAGTTCAACCACATAGACCTCAAAGATCCCTATTTTCTGCCCTAAACATCTGACAGGAAAAAAAAATAGCTTTATTCACTGAGTGAGAGAGAGGCACTCTGCCAACAAACTCGGCCCTCCAAAGGGAATGTGTGTGGGATCAGTTGGAAGGCACACTGTGCCACATTGGCGTGACTGGATTTGCCAAGAACACCAACGGCATGCTCTAAACTACTTCTAGCTCTGCATTTACCAAAATAATTTGCCAACTTTACTTTGAGGGCTGGGAAGGTTATATAGGTAAATGGCCTCCAGGTGCTTCTGATGTTAGGGCCACAATACTGTCCCCTGATTTCAATAATAATTAAGAAACTTAATTCCTAAAAATAAGCTCATGTATGTCTCTTTAACGACTACCAACTCTTCAAATTAGTTCTGAGGTTGCTGACAACCAAAAGTCTACTACATGGGAAAAATGATGTGTAGGAAATTTCTCAGTTTCCTCTTTATGGTAAGGCTCGGTTGAAAGAGCTCGTAAGAGCGGACTGTAAATACAAGATCCAGTGAGGTGTCTTACCAAGGACGTGGCCCCAGCCACACTCAGAGGAGAGCAGGAGCTTCCCGGTTCAAGTCACATGGCAAGTTCAAAGCCAGACCCTATCTTAAACCTCCTCCCCTGACTCCAGAATATTTTGGTCAGCGGTAAATGTGAAAACACGGGTGCCATGTGGTACCCAGTCTAGAAATGAGGACATTGGTGAAGTTTGCTTTGGCATGAGGAAGTGTGTATTCGTCCGTTCTCTATCAAAAGCACACATTTTGCATCAAATTGGTAAATCTCATTCATGTTCAAGGCAAAAGAAGGAGTTGCTTTTCCTCATCACCACTGCCAATGAGATTTCCCTGCTTGTTTCTAGGTCATGGTAGGAAAACTTGCATTTCCTGCTGCTTGGGGATGCTATTTTTATCCAGGAGTTTGCTGACAATTCCAAAGTTGATCCTATAATTCATATTCTTTTTCTAATACCCACAAACCCATTGCTTACACTGGGCTTCAAGGTGTTTTTATTGCCATTTTTTTCCCACTGATCTGTGGCTAACCTGCTTCAGCTTGTCTTACGGGTCCTTCCGTCATGTATCCTCACCTCTGATCCAGAGGCAAGCTCTGGCCAATAGAACTGAGGAAGTCCTGGCTCTGGTGACAAGGACCCAACACGCCCTAGAGGACACTGTTAGCTCTTCCTCCCCACATGTGTGTGTTACAGGTGGGGATTCTAGACAGGTGGACAATAGACATGAGATAGGAGGCTAGCACCGATACACAATGGGGCAATAGGGACAGAGGTTGAAATTGTGACCCTGTAACTATGGGCGAATGATCTAACTTCTCTGTTCACCCATGTCCACATCTTCTCATTTAAGTAATTTTATTAATAGTACCCAGATCAGGAACACAGATAGTGAGTGAGAGTCCAACAAAAGAGTTCCAGGAAGTCAGACTCGATGGGGTGCACTGTGGAATCTAGAATGGGCGTCCACCACCATCCCAGACGGAAACATAGATCAGTCAGAAAGTGCTTGCCACGGAAGCATGGGGTCCTGAGTTCAATCCTCAGCAGCCATGAAAACACTGGGTATGGCTGTACACGCCCAGAATCCTAGCTCCAGGGAATCACTGTCCGGCAGCCCAGGCTAAGCAGTGACCCCAGGTCCTAGTGAGAGACCCTGTCTCCAAACAGAAACTGTGGACACCTCCTAAGGAAGAACAGCTGAGTGTGACTTCTGGCCTTCACAGGCATGAGTGTGTACACCCAGAGATTATGAACACACACAAACACACATGCACACAAAAGCCATGCGATCTGGGCCACTGAGAGGAAAGCCAAAACTAGGTCCAAGTCACCGTGACTGTAAATAGACCTGGGGCTAGGAAATCGTAGGTTTGATTAATAGCTCATTGGAACTCTTCACAATTCAACTATTCTGTACCCAAAAGGGCAGTGTGGATAAGTGAACAACACTGCCTCTCATAAATGTGTTTTACAGTTTCTGGTTCTAAGAATTTCTGTTTTCTCAAAAAGCCCTTGGGCCACCCTACTCTGCAGACATCAGTCAGTATGGCCGGTTGCTTCTGATTTTCCTCCATGAGAACCAGTCGCTTTCCCTCCATAGGCTACAGCTGCCCTGATTAAAACTAACCCAGGCCTCTTCAGTCTTGCTAAAAGCCGAGAGGAAGGGCAAGGATCCCCGATAATATAATGTAGGTGTGATTAACCATTTTTGACAAGCATGATTTAAATATAGAAACACAAATGTAGAGTTAAGGTGAGCTCTGGTCTCCTATTGCTCCTCCTGGTGGCTGCTGGCTCTTCCTGAGCTTCTTTTCTGGTACTGCCAGAGCAGGAAGCTTTGGGGGTGCTGGAGGGAGCTCCATCACAAGGACTTGGGAGTTATGTGGGCGAGAAGGGAGTCGGGTTGGCAAAGTAAGCATGAATTTCAGCTTCTAAGGAAAGCAGACGTAAGGTACAGTGTCTCCTTTCTCTGTATTAGTTTTTCTTTTTTAGATTTCAGTTTACATATGCTCAGCCAGGAACTTAAAATATTAAGTAGAAAATTCTAGAAATAAACCACTTGTAAGGCTTTAGCAATTTATTAACGCGAACTTGTAATTGCTCCATTTTCCTGTGTGATATTGTGGCTGATCCCTCGTTGTTCCTACTTCACACAGTAAACGTAGCCACAAGCGTGTGCGCGTGGGGTTTGGTGACACAGTCTTTGGCATCCCCTGGGAGCCTTGGGATGTCTCCCCTGAGTGATAGGGGCTGTGGCCATGGTTGGAAAGATCAGGAAGGTCAAGAGTGTGGTGTTTACGAGAGTGGAGCTGAGATCACTTGCTGGCAGAGGACAGTTGAAATGATGAATAGCGTGAAGCTCTAACAGGAAGGCAGCTACTGCCAGTGGAGACAGTGATGGCTCCTTAGGACAGAAAGAACAAGGAGAGAACCGCAGCCTCACTGACGGCTCCCCTAGCCCCAACCGAAGGCAAGGAGAGTGCTCATGTAGCTTATACCTCCAGATGGCAGTCCACTATTAAGGGAAGCCAACCTGCAGGGAGCCTCTGAAGCAGAGACCATGGAGGAATGCTGCTCACTGGCTTGCTTTCCCTGGCTTGCTCAGTTGGCTTTTTCAGCCACCTAGGACTGCCTGTCCGGAGAGGCACCACCCACAGTTTGTTGAGCCCCTTCCACATCAACCATTAATCAAGAAAATGTTCCACAGACATGGAGGTAGACCAACCTTGCCCATTTAAGGCCCGCCTCTCAGATGACTCTAGTTGGTGTAGAGGTGACAAAAACTGGCCAGGACACTCTCTCCTCACTGTCTACTTGGTCTTACTCTGTAGCTCTCTGCTGGCCTGACACTCACTGTGTGTCCTAGGCGGGCCTCAAATCTGCAGCAATCTTCCTGCCCCCGCCTCCCACACGCACTACCAGGCCCAGCCTTTCGAGTGTTTCCTGAAGGGCACTCTGGGCCACCAAGATGGAGTCCTTTTGCTCCCCAAATGACTCAGCAGCCTTAGCTGTGACCTGTGGGGACTTCCTTTTCTTCATTTTCTACCTCCACAGCCAGGGAGTTTCTGGGACCCCTCCCTCGCCTCCTGGTGTCTCCTTCCCCGCCCCCCCCCCCGCCCCACCAAGCTGGGGTTCAGCTTCACAAGTTTAATACAAAATAGAAGTCAGAAAACTGTAACCTACACACTCTTCGTCTTTCCAGAGTTGAAGAAGGTTCCGAGCAACATCCCTCCAGACATTGTCAAACTTGACATGTCACACAACAAAATCAGCCAGCTGCGACCCAAGGAGTTTGAAGACGTTCACGAACTAAAGAAGTTAAACCTGAGCAGCAATGGCATTGAATTCATAGATCCTGGTAAGTCCCAATGCGTGGCTGCCTTCAAGTGGCCGGCAGCTGCGCTCTGAGTTTTCTTCTGTGGCAACAGCTATAGTGAACACCATTTAGGGCAAACAAACAAAAAAAAAAAAAACTGAGTTCAGAAAATATGAGCTTTAATTAACCATGATACTTCAAATGGGGCTTGTTCGGCACTCAGAAGTATGTGCCAAAATATTGCTTTACAAAGCGTGTACTACAGTCAGTCATCCCTGGGTGTCTGTGGTCATTGTTCCAAGACTCTTCTTAGACACCAAAACCCCCTTTGTAAAATGACGTGTACACTCCCATTTATACTTTAATTATTCACTTATTGACAACACTTAGAATAGCAGAAGTGCTAGATAAGCTATATTGTGTAAGGAATAATCTCAAAGTCTAGTGAGTACATGGCATATTCGGAACAGATAGAATTTTTCAGCTATTTTTAATCTGTGGTTGGTTGAATCTGCAAACATAGAATCTGACAGATGCATGTCACTGACTACATAGTACTAACAATATGTACTCCATCAATCCCAGTAACAAAAGCATTATAGAATAGATATGTACGCACAGGGGGTGGAAGGATTCTCACAGTGCAGCCCAGACTGACCTTAACTTCTTATTCTCCTGCCCTGGTTCCTCAGGTGCTCCTACTACAGGTGCTGCACACTTCCTACACAGGTGCACACTATCACACCTGGCTCTTCAGATGCTCCTACTACAGGTGCACACTATCACACCTGGCTCCTCAGGTGTTCCTATTACAGGTACACACTTCCTACACAGGTTCACACTATCACACCTGGCTCCTCAGGTGTTCCTATTACAGGTGCACACTTCCTGCACAGGTGCACACTATCACACCTGGCTCCTCAGGTGTTCCTATTACAGGTGCACACTTCCTGCACAGGTGCGCACTATCACAACTGGCAGGTGCAAACTTCCTGCACAGGTGCACACTATCACACCTGGCTCCTCAGGTGTTCCTATTACAGGTGCACACTTCCTGCACAGGTACACACTATCACACCTGGCTCCTCAGGTGTTCTTATTACAGGTGCACACTTCCTGCACAGGTGCACACTATCACACCTGGCTCCTCAGGTGCTCCTACACAGGTGCACACTATCACACCTGGCTCCTCAGGTGCTCCTACACAGGTGCACACTATCACACCTGGCTTCTCAGGTGCTCCTATGAATACAGTTGTTTCTCCTATGTAAAAAATGAACTAGACCAATTACTTTTGTGTCTGTGTGCACTTGTTCATGTGTGTGTGTACTTGTCCAAGTGTGGGTGTGCATGTGTGTACTTGTCCACGTGTGGGTGTGCATGTGTGTACTTGTCCACGTGTGGGTGTGCATGTGTGTACTTGTCCACGTGTGGGTGTGCATGTGTGTACTTGTCCACGTGTGGGTGTGCATGTGTGTACTTGTTCACGTGTGGGTGTGCATTGTGTACTTGTCCACGTGTGGGTGTGCATGTGTGTACTTGTCCACGTGTGGGTGTGCATGTGTGTACTTGTCCATGTGTGGGTATGCATGTGTGTACTTGTTCACGTGTGGGTATGCATGTGTGTACTTGTCCACGTGTGGGTGTGCGTGTGCGTGCTTGTCCACGTGTGGGTGTGCGTGGGTGTGCTTGTCCACGTGTGGGTATGTACTTACTTGTTCATGCGTAGGTATGCATGTGTCTGCTTGTTCATCCGTGGGTATGTATGTGTGTATTTGCTCATGCGTGGGTATGCATGTGTGTACTTGTTCATGCGTAGGTATGCATGTATGGACTTGTTTGTGCGTGGGTATGCATGTGTGTGCTTGTTCATCCGTGGGTATGTATGTGTGTACTTGCCCATGCGTGGGTATGCATGTGTGTGCTTGTTCATCCGTGGGTATATATGTGTGTACTTGCCCATGCATGGGTATGCATGTGTATACTTGTTCATGCGTAGGTATGCATGTGTGTACAGAGTTCGACAGCATGTTTTAGTTGCTGAATCGAGCTCACCAATCAGCTACATTGTCTGGCCTGTGAGCCCCAGGGATCCTTTTGTCCCCACCCCACCCCCCAACACTGGATTCTAGGTCCACATTACCCTGCCCAGTCTTTGACAGGGGTTCTGAGGACCCACTCAGGGCCTTCTGCTCGGCGAGGCATCGGCTCAGCCCCTCCGCTTCTCTCAGTAATAACACAGGCACTAGCAGGAACCCAATTTTAACACAATCAAAGTGAAAACCGAAGACACCCTTGGCTCCATGAAAGCATATTCCAGAATTAATATCATTTAAATATCACAAAATTATAACAAATTTTTAAAGGAACAACAATTTGCTACACTTGCCTGCACACATACTGCACTCTGAATTGCAAGATTAAGAGCAATTTTCTCTTCACGGCAAATAAAAAGACATTCCTTTCTTACAGTCATTATAATCATGTTCATATCAGTCACTGGTGTCCAGTCTCTGTAAAGTCAGGCCACAGGTTGAAGGACCCAGGGGTGGAGACCATCTTGTGCCCTATGAGAACCGTAGGTCCATAGAACAAGTCCACTGTGCCAAGGGTTCCTGAGCAAGAGTCTAATTCCTTTCCAACACTGTGTTCAATGCACTAGTAGACAGTTGTCGGGGTGTAGCTTAGTGGTGGAGCACTTGCTGAACAAGTTCAAGACCCAGGCTTCCATTCCCAGCAACACAGAGACACAAATGCACACATGAACACAATGAATGCAGATGACTCTTAGAGCTTTTGTTAAACCTAAACGCCAGTTATTAGACAGCCTTGGTTGAGTGTGAAGGCAGTGAGCAGCTGTGCCCAAACAGTGGTGCAGTCACAACAGAACCATGAAGACCACTCCTTCCCTTCCTCCCCTCTCCCCTTCTTCCCATCCTCAGTTTGTTTACTCAACACAAGGGACGCATTTTCATTAACACTTCTGCATTGAACCGAGTGCCAAGGACTTTGGTTGTTAAGTCCTTTAGAACAAAAGAAAATGGACCTTAGAACTTGAAGACCAAATGAACTACAGCAGCTTTAAAGTAAAAGACCGGCTGCGTTTCGGGACCCTTGGGAGGAAGTGCTGCCCAACGGCTTCCTGTGAGCACATGTGCAGAAGACATGGGGACACCAGACTGCAGAAGAGGGGACACCAGACTGTAGAAGACATGGGAACACCAGACTGCAGAAGACATGGGGACACCAGACTGTAGAAGAGGGGACACCAGACTGTAGAAGAGGGGACACCAGACTGCAGAAGACATGGGGACACCAGACTGCAGAAGACATGGGGACACCAGACTGTAGAAGACATGGGGACACCAGACTATAGAAGAGGGGACACCAGACTATAGAAGAGGGAACACCAGACTGCAGAAGACATGGGGACACCAGACTGTAGAAGACATGGGGACACCAGACTGTAGAAGATATGGGGACACCAGACTGCAGAAGACATGGGGACACCAGACTGTAGAAGAGGGGACACCAGACTGCAGAAGACATGGGGACACCAGACTGTAGAAGACATGGGGACACCAGACTGTAGAAGAGGGGACACCAGACTGTAGAAGACATGGAGACACCAGACTGCAGAAGACATGGGGACACCAGACTGTAGAAGAGGGGACACCAGACTGTAGAAGAGGGGACACCAGACTGTAGAAGAGGGAACACCAGACTGCAGAAGTCATGGGGACACCAAACTGCAGAAGACATGGGGACACCAGACTGTAGAAGACATGGGGACACCAGACTGTAGAAGACATGGGGACACCAGACTGTAGAAGACATGGGGACACCAGACTGTAGAAGACATGGAGACACCAGACTGTAGAAGAGGGGACACTAGACTGCAGAAGACATGGGGACACCAGACTGCAGAAGAGGGGACAGTCCAGTCGAACGCAGGGCAGAATGGGAAAAGGAAAGAAAACTCCTTACCAGGGGTATCAAGAAACAAAACTCGCTCTCCCAGGGGCCCTAGATACATACGCTTTAATGCCAACTGTAGTTCTTTTGAAATAGAATGTAGGAATATTTGCCTGCAAATGCTTTGAATCTGGAGCCCTGACTTGTCCCAAGAGAAGGGAGTTTGTGACAGCCTGATGTTAGAATTTTACCAGATGATCCTCAAAATGCACAGGCCTGATCTGTCTCCTCGCCCCACTCCTCAACCCCTGTGTCCAAAACTAGAAAGTAGCCTGTTTGGGGCTGTGTCTGAGAAAAGATGATATGAAAACAGTTAACAGCACTGGCACAAAGCTTATTTCTAATTCAGAGTAAGGATTCTATATTCTAGGACAGGCATGTTGAGGGAGTACTGTGAAAATGTCCAGGACAGAAACAAGGTCTTTGACGTTAGCAATGACCTGTTTGTTCTGGAACATAGGCTCCATCTTTATGTGCTCATTTCTTTGTTCTTGAGAGTTGTGTTATTTTGTTCTGTGTTATTTTCTTCTAATTACTCAGCATCCAGCTAATCAAATACATATGAATTCTGATAATTCCCACCACTTGCCAAACTCAACCAGATGTTTTAAAAACGTTGGCAGAAATTACTTGGCTTGGTGCTATTCAAGAATAGGCTCTCACCGCGAGTGCACTAAACGGGGGAAGATTATTTTCTAGGCGTTTTACAGCTCATCCATCACCTAGGAAGCTGTCATATGTTCCTGTGTTTTCCTGCACTACGGCCTTAAATTTGATACACTTTCCTTATTTATCCAGCACCCCTCTTTCTGCAGCACTCAGTAAGAACAAAAAATGTACACCAGAAAAATGCGTTTTTATTGGGACATTCAGAGCACTGGGCAGAAGTCACATGGTGCCAACACCTCCCGCAAGCCTTCCCCAATGCCCCAGAAAAACAATTTTTAAAGACTAGCTTAAAAGTGACGTTTTCAAATACAATATCACACGTCGATCTACGCAATCCAGGAAAGGCTTTGTCTGAATAACGGTGTGTTTCATATTATTGCATTTCTTCACATGTTCAATATTGAGACACACTAAGGAAAAACCTCCCAAGGCAGAAATCTTCTGCACAGAACTAGTGAGGAAGAAGGCACTTTCCTTGCTGAGTACATAATTACACCAGCATGTGATACAAATCCCAAGCACACTGACTGCAAAGTCAGAAAGACATTGTTTTTAATCACATAGTTTACCTGGTAGCTCAGCGTCTATGCAAACAATACGCACAGGCTTCTCCACAACAAGGTAGTGTGCAGCTAGAAGCAAGGCCCCAGCGAAGTTAGTTCCCCGTCATCATTCTAGCCTTGAGATAAAGAGCGCTTCCTCCCTTGATGGTTCTGTCCAGGTTTCAGGAGTTCCAGACAGTTCACAGACAGGAGAAAACACTTAGATGCACGGGTCCTGGAGAGAAAGCTGTGGCAGGAACACTGAGCCTCTTAGCAAACCCGTGTTTGCCCTTACGGCCCGTAAAGCACGTAAAGCACGTAAGGCACGTAAGGCACGTCCAGCGCAGCGTGTGCGCTTGTGCAGTTAGTTCCCTTGCTCACTGGTTAACGTTCTCTGCTTCTAGCTGCCTTTTTAGGGCTCACACATCTAGAAGAGCTTGACTTATCAAACAACAGCCTACAGAACTTCGACTATGGGGTGCTGGAAGATCTGTATTTTCTGAAACTCCTGTGGCTCAGAGACAACCCTTGGAGATGCGACTACAGTATCCACTACCTGTACTACTGGCTCAAGCACCACTATAACGTCCATTACAGCGGTCTGGAGTGCAAGACGCCCGAAGAGTACAAAGGTTGGTCTGTGGGGAAATACGTTCGGAGCTACTACGAGGAATGCCCCAAAGACAAGCTGCCGGCGTACCCTGAAGCCTTTGACCAGGACACAGAAGACGACGAATGGGAAAAACTCCACCGAGAGCACACAGCCAAGAAGCACCGAGTGAGAATCACCATCGTGGGATAGCTGGGACAAGCGGCACCGAGCTGGGCTGGCATCAGAAACCATGTTTACATTTTCATCGGCTGTGACTGCTTAGACAGGTTATCCAGCTACAGAGGCTCCCTTTGACTACTTCCTAACTGTTATTACGTTGTGTGATCTTAGTAATATGGGGAAATCTGCATCCTGCTTCTCCACCCTCCTGTGGGCAGACTCTAATCACAGGATCCCACCGTGGCCCAGGACGGCTGGTGCAGGCCTGCAACCCCAACCCTCAAGCTGAAGTAGGAGGATCATGATGCCAACCTGGGCTACATAGCCAGAAACAGTGTCAAAAGAACCAAACTATCCCGGCTAATGATACAGGGACTTGGGTCTTAATATGTCATTAGAATTTCATAGTGTCTTGCATATGTTTTTGATGGCTTTTTGAAATAAAAGTTAAAAAAATTAAGTTTCATTTTTACATGTCTTTCTGTAACTCCTTATACAATCCGAAAAATGATCAAATATGAACAGTAACAATGAATTGTCTCTCCTTCCTCCTGTCAATCTCTGCTGGGTTTTGTTGTTGTTGTTTGTTTGTTGCTTTTTTTTTTTTTTTTTTTTTTTTGGTTTTCCAAGACAGCCTGCCCCAGAACTAGCCCTTGTAGACCAGGCTGTCCTTGAACTCCCAGAGATCCACCGCCTCTGACTACCCAGTGCTGGGATTAAAGGCGCGCGCCACCACCACCCCACTGACCTCTGCTGTTATTGATGCTTAAGGCAACTCAAGCTTTAAGTATTTTGGATTCCTGTATGCTCTAAAGTAAGGTGCTGGCAAACCCTGCATGAAGTACCGTGTCCTGGGGTTCCTCCCACACACTATGTATTTGCATTTCTCTATCAAGACACTGGGTACAAAGCTTAGGAACTGGTCACCTCATTTCTTGTACAAGTGCCCATGCATGAAAGGCAATCTATTATACATAGTACCGAGTACTGTCTAGAGAGTCTCCGGATTCTGAGCACTGTGCTGAACACGTCTCAGAATCTCCATGTAACTCACAGGATTCCCCCTGGGGACCATAATGTTACTGACCCTACAAAGAGGAGAAACCCACAGCTCAGGGAGCCGGAGAACCTGGACAAAGCCATACGGCTGGGAGGGGCAGAGCCATGAAAACCTTTTCTACTGCGCAGGGAAACAGTCCTTGCCATTGGCCACCTGCATCAGAATTTCCAGAACCAGCCCCTGCCCCTGCCCCTGCCCTGCCCTGCCTCCTGCTCCCTCCACCCTCACTCCCACCCGTGCCCCAGGAACACCAGAGAGGAGCTGGCGAGAGAGACGTTTGAATCTACACTAATATGCACAGGAAATCAGAACATGGAAAAGCAGAGGAAGAGCCGGCAGTGCTGCTCAGGGTATCTGTGTGGACTGTGAAAATCCGGACACCACACTGAATTTACCTGTGGTTTGGATATGGGAAATTCAAACCTCCCCTTTATACACTGGGAGTCATTAAAGACAGGGTTTGCTTTACAGTGCCGTCCAAGAGACACGATGGGTTTATTCATCATTTTCCACGAGCCTCCAGAGAGAGCAGTAAGGATCTGGTGTCAGAGAAGCCAGGTGCTACCTCAGTGAGGGCAGGAGGGTTAGCTCTAGTCACAGAGGATTGAGTAGGAGTCGGAAAAGGGTCCAAACTGTTCCCTGCCTCAAGTTTTTGGAGGCTAGTTGGAGATTTTATTGGTTGACTTTTATACCCATCATCCCCTGGGATGTATTTGGAAATAGGGTCTGGAACACATTATGATTAAGGAATTAGTCTTGCTGTCCCGGAGCTATGAGAGCTGGAGGCTGGTCCTGCGCAGAGCCTTAACTGAAGTCGTGTTTCTGAAAGCGTAGGTTTGCTCATCCCAGACAGAGCTTCAAGGAAGCACAGTCAGTCCTCTGCCAGCACGTGCTTCCTGGACGGTGCCTGTAGACTGGCGCCAGTGAAAATATGATAATTCTGAGGTATACATATTTGAGAACACATGCTTATCGCTTCAGCATTTGGATAAAGTTATGTTTTAAAAATCTTTCTTCTAGACTGAAGGTTCTCTAAGTATTTTCAGTTACTTGGGGAAGACAGTTAGCACTGTGTAGTTCCTTTACTTCATTCCCCAACACTTCCATCTGAGCTATTCTTCTGCTCCGACATATGAGTCTGCTTGCCTGAATTCCATACAAGTGCTCCACCGTCTGCCTTTAAAATGTCTTAAGATCCCACCTCACAGTTCATGTTCCTTGGGCTTTTCCTTTCTGCGGGACGCTGCCGGGCCAGGCAGCCAAGTGGCTCAAAAGTTCTGCCAATATTTATCTTCCATCTTAAAATCAGCAAACCAAACCTCTGGCCAGAAATATGTGTAATTCTATACACACCAGTACAAGACAAGAACGGGGAACAGAAACACTTTGTCTTTAATGCACTCAAGCTTACAAGAATAAAAACTGGTTTTACTAAATCATTGGTGACAAATTAAAAATATCCCAACAGTTGAGACAGGTTGCTTCCTTAAAAATAATATAAAGATTTGGTCAGATTATCTACTTAATTATTGCTATGATGAAGATATTCGGCCAAGGATCACTATATTTTAAAAATAAACAGAAAAACTAAAAATCTTAAATTAAGAAAACATGTTTGAACTATTTTGATCCCAAAACAAGCATCGGTTTCATATATTCTAGTCATCATATATGTCATTATTTGATATACTGAACACATAGTCAATACACCCATTGCATAGGAGAGAATTTGGCCCATGGATTTTCATTATTTGAAGATCTCTGGACTCTACGCAATCATAACAATGTAGCTCACTTACACTGCTCAGTGGGCCTGTCCTAAACACCAGGAAGCCTTCACATGGAAGTAAGGTTCAAAAATCAGGAGAGAATATAGCTATGTCCACGTTTAAAAAGAAGACATATGAATAAAGGAAAGGACAGTCACACCCTGGGATAGAGCATTACACGACACACTGGAAAATGAACCATCATCTGAAACACACAAAGTACTAAAAGTCAACAATAAGGAAATGGGCCCCAAACGTTGACAGAGCTAGTGGGGGGGGGGGTACCTGCCTGCTATTCCAGTACTCAAGAGGCAGAGGCAAGAGATCACCAGGTCAAGGCCAGCCAGGGCTGTGCAGCAAGATCCAGTCTCCAAAAGTCAAAACATGAACAAATCTTAATGGATGAGAGTGTGAGCACACGAAAGGAGCCTAAGACACCAAGGAAATGTGAGAACAGCAGTGGGGTGCCAATGCATGCCTGCGAGAAGGACCAAAGTGGGGTGCCATTGCACACCTACAAGAAGGACCAAAGTGGGGTGTCATTGCACACCTACAAGAAGGACCAAAGTGGGGTGTCATTGCACACCTACAAGAAGGACCAAAGTGGGGTGTCATTGCATACCTGCGAGAAGGACCAAAGTGGGGTGCCATTGCACACCTACAAGAAGGACCAAAGTGGGGTGTCATTGCACACCTAAAGAAGAACCAAAGTAGGGTGCCATTGCACACCTACAAGAAGGACCAAAGTGGGGTGCCATTGCACACCTGCGAGAAGAACCAAAGTGGGGTGTCATTGCACACCTACAAGAAGGACCAAAGTGGGGTGCTATTGTACACCTGCGAGAAGGACCAAAGTGGGGTGCCATTGCACACCTACAAGAAGGACCAAAGTGGGGTGCTATTGTACACCTGCGAGAAGGACCAAAGTGGGGTGTCATTGCACACCTACAAAAAGGACCAAAGTGGGGTACCATTGCACACCTGCGAGAAGAACCAAAGTGGGGTGTCATTGCACACCTACAAGAAGGACCAAAGTGGGGTGCCATTGCACACCTACAAGAAGGACCAAAGTGGGGTGCCATTGCATACCTGCGAGAAGACCAAAGTGGGGTGCCATTGCACACCTACGAGAAGGACCAAAGTGGGGTGTCATTGCACACCTACAAGAAGAACCAAAGTGGGGTGCCATTGCATACCCACAAGGAGGACCAAAGTGGGGTGCCATTGCACACCTATGAGAAGGACCAAAGTGGGGTGTCATTGCATACCTGCGAGAAGGACCAAAGTGGGGTACCATTGCACACCTGCGAGAAGAACCAAAGTGGGGTGTCATTGCACACCTACAAGAAGGACCAAAGTGGGGTGCCATTGCACACCTACAAGAAGGACCAAAGTGGGGTGCCATTGCATACCTGCGAGAAGACCAAAGTGGGGTGCCATTGCACACCTACGAGAAGGACCAAAGTGGGGTGTCATTGCACACCTACAAGAAGAATCAAAGTGGGGTGCCATTGCATACCTGCGAGAAGAACCAAAGTGGGGTGCCATTGCATACCCACAAGGAGGACCAAAGTGGGGTGCCATTGCACACCTACGAGAAGGACCAAAGTGGGGTGCCATTGCACACCTGCGAGAAGAACCAAAGTGGGGTGTCATTGCATACCTACAAGGAGGACCAAAGTGGGGTGCTATTGTACACCTGCGAGAAGGACCAAAGTGGGGTGTCATTGCACACCTACAAGAAGGACCAAAGTGAAGTATCATTGCACACCTACAAGAAGGACCAAAGTGGGGTGTCATTACACACCTACAAGAAGGACCAAAGTGGGGTGTCATTGCACACCTACAAGAAGGACCAAAGTGGGGTGTCATTGCACACCTACAAGAAGGACCAAAGTGGGGTGCCACTGCACACCTGCGAGGAGGGTCAAAGTGGGGTGCCACTGCACACCTGCGAGAAAGACCACAGGCCAGGACAGTGATGGCACCGAGTGTGAATAACAGAGACTCTTGTTCACTATCAGGAATGCAGAGAGCTGCCATCCTGGAAAACTGTTTAGTGGATTCTTTCTGCATTAAATATACTCCTGCTATATAAATACCAATTATCCTTCTTAACACCTAACCAAAAGAGCTGAAAACATTTAGTTTAGCTCAATATTTCTCAACAGCCGGTTTATGAAGGTCTGATTTCCAGCCTGTGGCACCACCAGGGGTCGACAGAACCTCCAGACTAAAACCCAGACACCATGAGGGAAAAATAAACATGTTCTTTTTATTCTCCTCATGAATTCTGTCTTGGCAGCAGAAAACTACCATGACTGATGTCTACAACAACAGTAAGCACTTCATGTATGTCTATACAGACGTAACATGGTATGAAGCTTGAAGACATTATGCTAAATGAGTCGTCACCAAACTGCAACTAACCTGTTATTCCTCTCACACTGAGTCCTGAGTCAGCACAACCACAGAGACAGAAAGCAGTAGTCAGAGGAGCTCGGGAAGGGAAGAAGTGGGGGTCGGGGATTTAATGGGTGATAAGATCCAGCTTTCTGTGACAGAATAGTTCTAGAGACAGATGGCCGTCTGCACAATGTGAGGACACTGAATTCCACA